TGCGCCTCTTTGTGGAATATCAAGGAGCAGGGTGTTTTCCCGTCCCTCCTACAACCTTCAACCTCCACAATTCAAGTGTTATCTACTGTTGTATTATGCCTATTTATGGATTAAATACATTGCAAACTGCACGAAGAAGGGAGAGAGGCTCTAGTGCTTGGCGAACGGTCAGTAAGACGGCAACACCAAAAGGAGCAGTGAGAGGGCAACTGGCAGCGGTGGGACTGTTATTCGGAGGAGCATGTACGGAATACTAACGACTATCTCAATCGGGAGCGTGAAGACGTGACCTGGAGCTTTACAAGCGCTGCGCCACCTTTGGGAGTGGGAGATCCTCTGGCGGCGGTGGGAGCGTTTCCAGTAGTGCAAAGGGCACGGGCTGTACGGTTGACTGGGTGAAACTGCATCACTATACATGGAGACACGCATACGTTAGTTATATCGACTACTCTTATTTTTTTAAATTTACCTCAAATTTGAAATTTCGTTCCATTTTCTTCTCCATGATTTTGGAGTTACTCTGTCCTTGGTCTTATTCTTGGGTGTTTTTAGTCGTTTCCAGGTCTACCTTCATAAGTTTCAGTTGTCAGTGAAATTTCGTTTGACATAGTATAAGTACTCGGTTTGTAAGCGATAACAACGTATTTTTTCATGTTTTAGGGTCTCCTCCCTCCTCTTAGTGGCAATTATAACGTTGGGAATATCGGTGCCGTTGGTGTGTGACTTGGGAGTGCATTCCATAGCTTGCGTTCTCTGCAGGTGACCGAGGTAGTGAGCCAAATCCAAGCCTCTTTTTATTTCGGATTTCAGCATGACTCTCATATGAGCTAGAAGTTGGAAGTGGGCTTACTACATTTCTTACATTTCGTATCTGACGGGATTTATAGGCCAGATTCCTGCTCCCCTCTATCTTTGGCTGTAGCGTGCACTTTAGCACACGCCTCTTGCTTGTAAGAAAGGGAAGAACCCAGGGCGGCGAACTTAGCCGGTAGCTTGAATTTGTCTACTTGGTTGATTTCGGTCCGGTCGTAGACTTGATTGGTAACCCAATGCCTTTGTTTCACTCATACTGGGGTTCTTTAATGCTATCTCTAGAGCATGCTCCTTGCGTTAGTTCTGGTCCGTTTTGCTTGGCAGTTTGGGGTTTGTCCGTAGTAGGCAATGGAACTACTGGGGGTAGTGGGAGACCTACTTGTAGTTGTGGCAACGTTACTGAGCTACTGCACGACGATTTTTTTTTTTTTTTTTTTTTTTTT